AGTGAGTGTGATCATGAGTGAGTGTGATCATGAGTGAGTGTGATCATGAGTGAGTATGGCCATGAGTGAGTATGGCCATGAGTGAGGCCATGAGTGAGTGAGGCCATGAGTGAGGGCGGCCATGAGCAAGTGTGACCATGGGCGAGTGTGATCATGAGCATGTGTGATCAAGGCGGAATGTATGCCATAAAGTACATTGACTAAAAATACAACGGTTGAGTAATGGTACAATGATTGTGCATTAGGTCTATCGACCTTGCCGTTGAGATCCTGCGATACGCCATCGTTCAAACTCCACCTCTCCGAGCCATAGAAGGTTGGTCGTGTCCCAATCGTTCACAGCAACTATCATGTTCCTGCGTCCCGGTTTGAGTGGACCATAGATGTTGATGAGTTGGTTTCGCTGTCCACCGCGTTGTGCATGTCGGCCTTTTGTCCTTCTTGGCACTTGATAGCCGGTCGGAAGGTGTGCGGAAAGGGTCGAGATGTAGCCCAGTAGCCTAACGAATCGATGCCATATCCTCTCTATGGAGCAGATCTGTGAGATGATGGCACCATCTTGACCTTGTGCATGTGCCTGCTATTCTCATGGCTCCCCTTTTCATGACTCTCATTGTTCCTCTTTGTCTATTCTTCTGCCATCTTCCATACACTTTGTTCTTCCTCATCCAATTGGTCCAAATCTAGGAAGAGGATGATGACGATGGAATGAGGAGAAGATGATGATAGCGGAGTAAGAAGAGACTCTTGGTGGCCTCTTCTCATCCGCATTCAAAAGCCGACCAGATAAAACCTTTCGAGATTCATGAAAGACCATCTCGTACGGCGCTCAAGATCGGATCATGATATAGCATTTGAACAAGTGGCACAACAGAAGAAATAACATACTTGACATCAACATTTGTCTTTCCTCTACCCTCCTTTCCATGCTTTCACTTCACACTCTTTGGCTTTACATCCGTTCAACATTACCAAAGAAGTACGTCATCGTTGCTTGTTATGAAGTGAGATTAATTAAGCCGGTCAAAGTTTCTTCATTCATGATGTCTCTACACTCGCATTCATTGGGCTCTTACAAGCAAATATTGGCAGACTCTAGAGAAGAAGAGGAACCTCTCTTATCCGTTGAAAACTCTGCAGCAACGTCCCGCTTTGCAGGTGGTGATGATGAGTTGCAGCTTTGTATGGTGAAATAGTTCCGGCGAGAATTGATTTGGGAGTCTGTATAGTTGTTGTGCCCGCAAGTATTGCCATTCGCATGCTCATGTCCATCACTTTTACACTCCTGCGTGAGTCCAATGATGAAGGAAAGAGTCAAGCATGAAACTCAGTCATTTTAGTGACCTTCTTCTTGCATAAAGTCACGCTAATATGGAGTATACGTAGGCGTGCGTGCGTGCGTAGGGTAGCATACATCCATTGTCAGCCAACTTGATTACTTATCCTTTTGGATGACCATGATGCGGAAAGCCTTGAATTTGAATAGCCCATTCAAAAAAAGCATGTCATATCATACCTGCTGCTCCCGTTACACATGCATCGATGGGTCATTTGACTGGCCATGCCAATAACGATAGGTGCATACACAAAACTTTCACTATCCAAAGGTTTAACTTCTTCACTCATACCTGCAGAGCAGAATGGTGCCGCAGCGGTCTCAACGGACGGACAAGAGAGCAGAGTGCAGCAAACTTATCAAAGCTACAAAGAAAGAACTTACCGAGAAGCCGGAAAAGCAGGATATCTTAGATCCATCAGATGGTTAGTAAGAGTCATAAATAGTAGCTGCAGATGATTGGTCAAAAAGTATTCGTTTGAAAGCCAGCAAAGCGGGATATCTCAAAAGCATCGGATGGTCAGCAGAAAGAACTGAGGATTACGGCTGCAGATTGTGCAGATAAATCCAAGCTATCAAGCAAGCTATTATGCAAACGTCAAAGAAGCGTGATATCTCATAAGGCTGCCAAGCATCAATTACCGGGAAGCCGAAAGAACGGGATATTTATTCCATCGGATGGTCCAACGAAAGCCTAGAACTGTGAATCATGCTAGCATTTGGATGGTCTTTTTGTTCATGTAACATGCATGTGGATTATGGTAAGTTAACCTGTCTGTCAGATTCGATTTTGACATACTTAACAGTCTAGGGAAAATCATCTGAATTCTGAA